GAAAATCTGTCTTAGTATAAAATGAAATGTTCTTAACCAAAATTAGATGTGATAGGGTAGTTTGAAATATTTTTTCACTTTTTGGTAAATAAGTTTTGAAATTAATTTTCCAGAAAATTGGGAGCTTAATTGTGAAGTCTGGTTGAATTGATCTTTGTATAACAATGGTTGTGCTGTTACTTAATTTCAACATTTTACAGCCAAAGGAAAATGATTACAAAATAAATAGTTACAAATAAGATACATGTAAAAATAGCAGCCAATGTTATTTTACTGCTTTTTGTGAAAAACTGTGTTTCAGTTGACTGATCAGCAGCCCTGGCGACCCACGCCATACTCTCTATACACTTATCACTGATGGGCGTCCCTGGCGACCCACGCCATACTCTCTATACACTTATCACTGATGGGCGTCCCTGGCGACCCACGCCGTACTCTCTAGACACTTATCACTGATGGGCGTCCCTGGCGACCCACGCCATACTCTCTATACACTCATCACTGATCAGCATCCCTGGCGACCCACGCCATACTCTCTAGACACTTATCACTGATGGGCGTCCCTGGTGACCCACGCCGTACTCTCTAGACACTTATCACTGATGGGCGTCCCTGGCGACCCACGCCATACTCTCTATACACTTATCACTGATGGGCGTCCCTGGTGATCCACGCCATACTCTCTATACACTTATCACTGATGGGCGTCCTTGGCGACCCACGCCATACTCTCTAGACACTTATCACTGATGGGCGTCCCTGGCGACCCACGCCATACTCTCTAGACACTTAATCTGATGGGCGTCCCTCGCAACCCACGCCATACTCTCTAGACACTTATCACTGATGGGCATCCCTGGCGACCCACGCCATACTCTCTAGACACTTATCACTGATGGGCGTCCCTCGCAACCCACGCGGTACTCTCTAGACACTTATCACTGATGGGCGTCCCTGGCGACCCACGCCATACTCTCTATACACTTATCACTGATCAGCATCCCTGGCGACCCACGCCATACTCTCTAGACACTTATCACTGATGGGCGTCCCTCGCAACCCATGCCGTACTCTCTATACACTTATCACTGATGGGCGTCCCTGGCGACCCACGCCGTACTCTCTAGACACTTAATCTGATGGGCGTCCCTCGCAACCCACGCCATACTCTCTAGACACTTATCACTGATGGGCGTCCCTGGCGACCCACGCCATACTCTCTATACACTCATCACTGATCAGCATCCCTGGCGACCCACGCCATACTCTCTAGACACTTATCACTGATGGGCGTCCCTCGCAACCCACGCCGTACTCTCTATACACTTATCACTGATGGGCGTCCCTGGCAACCCACGCCATACTGTCTAGACACTTATCACTGATGGGCGTCCCTGGTGACCCACGTCGTACTCTCTATACACTTACCACTGATGGGCGTCCCTGGCGATTCATGCCATACTCTCTATACACTTATCACTGATGGGCGTCCCTGGCGATCCACGCCATACTCTCTATACACTTATCACTGATGGGCGTCCCTGGCGACCCACGCCGTACTCTCTATACACTTACCACTGATGGGCGTCCCTGGCGACCCACGCCATACTCTCTATACACTTATCACTGATGGGCGTCCCTGGCGACCCACGCCATACTCTCTAGACACTTATCACTGATGGGCGTCCCTGGTGACCCACGCCGTACTCTCTATACACTTACCACTGATGGGCGTCCCTGGCGATTCATGCCATACTCTCTATACACTTATCACTGATGGGCGTCCCTGGTGACCTACGCGTGTTACTACACCATACTCTCTATAAACTTATCACTGATGGGTGTCCCTGGCGACCGACGCCATACTCTCTATAAACTTATCACTGATGGGTGTCCCAGGCGACCCACGCCATACTCTCTATACACTTATCGCTGATGGGCGTCCCTGGCGACCTACGCGTGTTACTACGCCATACTCTCTATAAACTTATCACTTTCACCTTTTTATCCTCCAGCAGAGTTATGGTAAATTCATATGGTAATGATCGGAAGTTAGTTTATGAAAATTGTTTCAGCGAGAATATATCAATTATGTATTTAAAATTTTCCAGCTGTTTGGTAAATCTAGTAACGTGTATTTTGGTGAGGTTTGAGCGTGAAATGAATTTTCTGAGTATACAAGCTGTCTTAGTGACACCACTTGTCAAAAGTGCCTCAAATCTGTTGATGATAATTATATCAAAAACATCTGTTTATGACATTTTTATATAGTACATATATATGGTGCATATAACTGTGGACAGTAAAAAAGATTTTGATAGAATAATTCTTAAATAGAAAAGGAGAATTAGTTAGGTTATAGAATTTAACGTACAAGAGCTTTCAACAGGTAGTAGTTAACTTAAACAATGAAACTTGTCAGCCATAAGATGGATGGACCTATTTCAGAAATCATTGTCCTTTACAGAAAGGTTTTAATTAAACTGAGATGACCTTTCTAGATAGGTAATAATTGAACTGAGGTGACCTTGTTAGACAGGTTTTAATTAAACAGAGCTGACCTTTCTAGACAGGTAATAATTGAACTGAAGTGACCTTGTTAGACAAGTTTTAATTATACAGAGGTGACCTTTCTAGACAGGTATTCATTTATACTGAGATGACCTTTATCGACAAGCTGTGAACATACAGAGGTGACCACAATAGATAGGTTTTAATTATAGTAAAACAGCCTTTATAGACAGGTTTTTATTATTAGTGACCTTATAGACAGGTGGTTTATATCCTTAGGAAGCCTTTATAGACAAGTTTTTAGTATTAGTGACCTTATAGACAGGTGGTTTATATCCTTAGGAAGCCTTTATAGACAGGTTTTTATTATTAGTGGCCTTATAGACAGGTGGTTTATATCCTTAGGAAGCCTTTATAGACAAGTTTTTAGTATTAGTGACCTTATAGACAGGTGGTTTATATCCTTAGGAAGCCTTTATAGACAGGTTTTTATATGCCCGTCGAAAGACGGACCTATTATGGTTTGGTGCTGTCTGTCCGTCCATCCGTCCGTCCGTCCGTCCGTCCGGCATCCGGCGTCCGTCGTAAACTTTTATTTGTCGGAGATCTCCTCCTACATTTTTCAGCCGATCTTTATGAAACTTGGTAGGCTTAATCACCATGATATGAAATTGTGTTTTCTTGAATAGAGTTTTGATTAAACTATTTGAATAAGAGTTATGCCCCTTTGTTTATTTCACTATAGAAATCTTGTCTGGAGATCTCCTCCAACATTTTTCAGTCGATCTTTATGAAACTTGGTAGGCTTAATCACCATGATATGAAATTGTGTTTTCTTGAACGGGGTTTTGATTAGACGATTTGAATAAGAGTTAAACCCCGTTGCTGTTTTGGATAGTCACAGGCGTATTTTGTTCCGCATTGCAGTACTCTTGTTAGTATTAGTGACCTTATAGACAGGTGTTTTATATCCTTAGGAAGCCTTTATAGACAGGTTTTTATTATTAGTGACCTTATAGACAGGTGGTTTATATCCTTAAGAAGCCTTTATAGACAGGTTTTTATTATTAGTGACCTTATAGACAGGTGGTTTATATCCTTAGGAAGCCTTTATAGACAGGTTTCTAGTATTAGTGACCTTATAGACAGGTGGTTTATATCCTTAGGAAGCCTTTATAGACAGGTTTTTAGTATTAGTGACCTTATAGACAGGTGGTTTATATCCTTAGGAAGCCTTTATAGACAGGTGTTTGGTATTAGTGACCTTATAGACAGGTGGTTTATATCCTTAGGAAGCCTTTATAGACAGGTTTTTATTATTAGTGACCTTATAGACAGGTGGTTTATATCCTTAGGAAGCCTTTATAGACAGGTGTTTGGTATTAGTGACCTTATAGACAGGTGGTTTATATCCTTAGGAAGCCTTTATAGACAGGTTTTTATTATTAGTGACCTTATAGACAGGTGGTTTATATCCTTAGGAAGCCTTTATAGACAGGTTTTTGGTATTAGTGACCTTATAGACAGGTGGTTTATATCCTTAGGAAGCCTTTATAGACAGGTTTTTATTATTAGTGACCTTATAGACAGGTGGTTTATATCCTTAGGAAGCCTTTATAGACAGGTTTTTAGTATTAGTGACCTTATAGACAGGTGGTTTATATCCTTAGGAAGCCTTTATAGACAGGTTTTTAGTTAGTGACCTTATAGTCAGGTGTTTTATATCCTTAGGAAGCCTTTATAGACAGGTTTTTGGTATTAGTGACCTTATAGACAGATGGTTTATATCCTAAGGAAGCCTTTATAGACAGGTTTTTAGTTAGTGACCTTATAGACAGGTGTTTTATATCCTTAGGAAGCCTTTATAGACAGGTTTTTAGTATTAGTGACCTTATAGACAGGTGTTTTATATCCTTAGGAAGCCTTTATAGACAGGGTTTTACTACAGAAATGGGTTATTTACAGCAGAACAGGCTGACCTTTATAGGCAGGCTTAAGTGTGGTTTGAAGATTTGAAGACATATTTATAAAAACTTAATTTCATATTTCTACGTGTTATTTTCTACGTGTTATTTTCAACATCTTTCATAACATTGTCATGTCAGAGGCACATTACGTGCAGGTCTCTTTACTCTAGCAAAATCAACCATTTATAATCAATTGTAAAGTTCTGTTGTGGGTTCAATATCCAATACCAATGCCAGTGACAATCTCTTGATTTGGAACTTTAAATTGTCTCTGTGAATTGTACATTTTGTGCAAATTTCACTTATTTAACTAAAATTATTTTAACAATTTAAATTCTGGTCATTGATAGCCATCTTCTATAAAAAGAGTTTGATTGTTTTGCATGTTGTGGATTATATCTCATATTTAAACTTACAAATATATATATATATATTATATTATTAACATGTTTAGCCTTTTAGTAATTCTTGTACCTTGATTTTCATATTAGGGAAGTTTCAAATTTGTAACTTGTGTTTTAGGGGCCTGTGGTACGACACACAGTATGGAAATATGCTCAAGGTTGATTATTTTGGAAACATCCTGGTCTGTGTCCATGGCTTCCAGTTCCTCAAAGCGTAAGTTTTTTCTTCTTCCTGTCATTTTAGCAAGTATGATATCCTATACATTATACCATTGTAACCCTGGTAAATACTAGCTGCAATATACCGCTAGAGAGAACTTCTCTTTAGCTGAGTCGATTGAGCTTCAGACTTGTAAGCCATGGGTTCCTTGGTCCGTATACTAGCAGAGGCATTGAAATGAATAATGACCTCTGTTACATTGGTGGCCTTGTAGGGACTTGGGAATAATACTTAGCCATGTCCCACCTGGATCATTGTAACCCCTGGAAACTTGAGGATAAGTTATTTCCTGGTAAACTTCAATGACCTTGTTTGTATCTGAAATCCTTGTTTAGAAATATCCTCCTTAATATTTAATCTGATTTCAATGAAGTTACTCAGGAATATAAGAAACCATGAGAATAGGTAGATGTACATCCAGGGTTTTTACCTGGTCCAAAGGACTGATGAGTTTATTCCATGGTGTGACATCTGTCCAGCGTGCAATGCTCCTCAACCTTTTACTAAAAATTGCTACTAGTCATGAACGACAGAACAGATTTTATGTCTAAGGGATTGGGTCAGAAAAGAGAAATTCAGTAAGTTATTTAAACTTCTTCTATAGAAATTATTTAATTTTGTCCATATTTGGTCTGAAGCATTCATGGGTGAAGGCAAATCAATTTTGCCAGTTTCAGTAGGTTGCTTGTGGGTGTCTTTGATCATGGATCAGAACCATTTAAGTGGCCAGACAGGCAGACAAGATACAAGATTATAGACTTTTGATCAGTAGAAAGTGGGATACTATGTGATGTCCACTCCTGTCTGATAAAAATGTGATCTTTTAGTGAATATGTAGCCGAGCCTGGCACCGGTCAGTTAATTACCTGAGTTGCTGACAGGAGTGACCGACATTTAAGGAAGAAGAGGCAAAAGTTTGACCACACCTGAGTGACCAGATAATGATACACAGAGAATGGTCATTATTCTTACTGTGACATTGACACACAGCTAGTGCAGCAGAGGATTCAGTCAAAACTGCCCAACTATTAATGGGAAATGTCTTCACTTCTACCATAACCTTTGACCTAGACAGTTTATTCTCACCTGTTGACCAGCCTAATTCTCACCTGGTCAGGCCTTGATGGATGTATAGAGACAGCTGGTGATGTTTTACTGTTTAGTTATTGTAGTCTCTGTTGAGCTTGGATTGTCAGTTTATTCCAGAGAAATAATTTTCATTTATTTTAGTCTTCCTCTTGTGTCCTTGATTAAAGTTAATTTAAAGTAAATATCAGTAGAATATATTTTCTTTTTAAAAAAGACAGGTTGAGGCTATTAATAAATATGTTTTAGTTATTAAAGTTTGTTCATAGTCAAATCTGTTACCATAACATAAAACTTGTTTTTCATTTGCTATACTGTGTTTATAGCACATGGTTCTATAAATTACCATTTTAGGCCATATGATTGAGTAATAAGTCAAAGGTCAAGGACAAATTGAGGTGAAGGACAGCATCAAAGGTCAAGGTCATGATTAGGAGTCAAGGTCTTTGTAATAAAATCTTTTCCTTAAAGTGGCCTCTCTGTTAATTTAAGATATGAACACACCTAAATCATTTGTTGTACAGGAACCTATCAGTGGGTAGCTGTCACTTAAAAGATTTTTTTTTTATACTTGAGTATTTAATAAGTAGACAATTTTGCAGCATTATGATGCACAATTTAAGAAAATTAAATAGCTGAAATGCCTCTACAAAAAAAAAGATGCATATTGAAATTCACAGCTTTTTAGATTTTCAATTAAATGACTAGCCACGCATTTACCTAGAGGACATTAAATTTGATTCTTTAAAGCATAGCTCACTTATGTGCAATCATTAAATATGAAAATGGTTTTGGATATGGTGTCTTTTTCTTTAAATATTCGACCTCTTAGTGTATTGATAATGTTTGATCTCATGAGTCTTGTTAAATTGAGAGAGAAAAAAGGTGTTATACTATTAGAAATATTTGCAAAAGGGTGATGCAGTATCAGTATATAAAGGAGAAAAAATGACACTTAGGCTTAAAAGTGTTGCTTTTCACAGGGTGTAAAATGATCGGTTTTAGTGACATCTTTATGTGTAATGTAACATTAATTTATACATAACCATTCATTGTGACTGATGTGGAAATGCTGCTTCTACATTAATAGAAATCTAAATGGGCAAACTGTGATGACATAGGCTTTTAAGCATTGTAAGCTTAATTTTTTTCTTTTTTTTTAAAATTTTATTAAGATGTCATAAAAATAGAAACAAAATTTAACATCAACATTTATAGAACAATTATATGATGACTGTAAAATGTTTTCACTGATTTCTTTTCAAAACTAGATGATATTATTGCAGTATAATTTTCTGTTGATATAGCCAATGTAGTCAGGGTGTTGGGATATTGTTAAGGGCCGATAAAGGTAAACAGGATGTGGAAGATTCTATTTTAATCTATCTTTGACACTAACCTGGCCGATTTTAAATATTTGAATAAGGGATGAACTTCGTGAGCGTGGTATGATTTAAATGAGAGGTCTCTCAGCCCCGAAGTCCTTTTGAAATACTGCTACAGAGATCTGAGCCAGCTATTTAGTGTCACATAACTGTAGTTGTATCAGTGTCAGGACCCTGACTTTGTATAAAGGTATATAAATCTTTAAGACTTTTGTGAACTGAAATCTCTGCAGTTCCATTCTTTGACAGTCAAATAAATCTTCTTATTTTATCAATAACTGTCAACTTACATTTTTTAAAATTCTAGATTGAAATATTTCATTGAAACTTTTAATAGAAAATTGGTTTTACTATTCATTCTTTGTATTTCCAGAAATATTAAAACAAACATAATTCATTCTTTGAAAAGTCAAGGAAAATTTAAATCTCATTAGATGCATATGATTCTGAATGTAAAATCCATGAAAATATATTTCAATACATAATACACAATTCATACACACAATTTAGGGAAAAAGGGAAAGTTTTACAAGAAGGTTTCTTTGGAGAAAAATTTACCCCTTATTGGTACCTAGCCCCTTATACACACATACAAAAATATCTCTAAGTTCATACCACCGACAAAATCTGAGTCCCCATGTGATTTACATACAGGTGTGCCATGTCAGGTATTTCTTGACCCTTAACAAGAGGACGTATCTCAAACAGTGCTTCCTTACCTTGGCAAACAAAACAGAGGAAATCCCAAATCCGTGTACCCATGATTATTATTTTTAAAGAATTAAGAAAATGGAGATGCATTGGTGACATTTGAGAAACTCAATTTCACCACAAGGGGGTAATCTTAATCAGTTACGATTTATCAACACTTCAAGACATAAATTAGGAAGATATTTTTTGACCGTGCAGTGGAGCTACCTATATAAATAATAAAATTTTGGATTATCAAATTTTGTATCTGCACCATGATTTTGCTTGTCTATGTAGTTCCTCTATATGTGTAGGTCTGTGGTTGTGCCAGTTTAATTGTTAGAATGATTTAGGCATATAAACCCTCTTTTTCGTACTATATTTTGATATTTTTTTTTTTTAATAGATGATCAATGCGTAACTCATGTACTCAAGAAATATTCTCAGCACACAGTTTTATATGTGTTTTATTTCCTATAAAACTCTATTATATCTCCTCTGAACTTAATAATATACATTCATATATATAATTTCATCTTACCAGTTAGCTTGTAAGTATTTATATAGTAATCCAAATTTTGATATTAATGCTCATACTGACTAAACAGTGATTGATCTAATTACAGTCTGACCACACAGAGACACTGGTCTAATTACAGTCTGACCACACAGAGACACTGGTCTAATTACAGTCTGACCACACAGAGACACTGGTCTAATTACAGTCTGACCACACAGAGACACTGGTCTAATTACAGTCTGACCACACAGAGACACTGGTCTAATTACAGTCTGACCACACAGAGACACTGGTCTAATTACAGTCTGACCACACAGAGACACTGGTCTAATTACAGTCTGACCACACAGAGACACTGGTCTAATTACAGTCTGACCACACAGAGACACTGGTCTAATTACAGTCTGACCACACAGAGACACTGGTCTAATTACAGTCTGACCACACAGAGACACTGGTCTAATTACAGTCTGACCACACAGAGACACTGGTCTAATTACAGTCTGACCACACAGAGACACTGGTCTAATTACAGTCTGACCACACAGAGACACTGGTCTAATTACAGTCGGACCACACAGAGACACTGGTCTAATTACAGTCGGACCACACAGAGACACTGGTCTAATTACAGTCTGACCACACGGAGACACTGGTCTAATTACAGTCTGACCACACAGAGACACTGGTCTAATTACAGTCTGACCACACAGAGACACTGGTCTAATTACAGTCTGACCACACAGAGACACTGGTCTAATTACAGTCTGACCACACAGAGACACTGGTCTAATTACAGTCTGACCACACAGAGACACTGGTCTAATTACAGTCTGACCACACAGAGACACTGGTCTAATTACAGTCTGACCACACAGAGACACTGGTCTAATTACAGTCTGACCACACAGAGACACTGGTCTAATTACAGTCGGACCACACAGAGACACTGGTCTAATTACAGTCTGACCACACAGAGACACTGGTCTAATTACAGTCTGACCACACAGAGACACTGGTCTAATTACAGTCTGACCACACAGAGACACTGGTCTAATTACAGTCTGACCACACAGAGACACTGGTCTAATTACAGTCTGACCACACAGAGACACTGGTCTAATTACAGTCTGACCACACAGAGACACTGGTCTAATTACAGTCTGACCACACAGAGACACTGGTCTAATTACAGTCTGACCACACAGAGACACTGGTCTAATTACAGTCTGACCACACAGAGACACTGTACAAAGTTTACCTGCTGAAATAATACACATTATTTAATGTCCAATTCAAGACGTTGTTTTTTT